TTAAAACAATTATTATAATTATTCTTAATATTTAATTAATTATACTTGACTTTATTTCATTTGTAGTCGTCGTTAAGCCTGGAGTACCCGGGCGACATGGAGTCTGTACAAGAGGCGTCGGGTTCTGACGACGAGGCCCGCGCCGCGCCGGAGCCCGACAGTGACGCCGAGCGACTCTCGCCACTACTCACACATCCTACTGCTAATGGGGTAAGACTTGGATCCATCTTGGATTGAGATCGGCTTCTAATTTTTGCTGTAAATGGTTGCTTTTTAAAACGATCCGCGTTGAAGTATTAATAGGTATTGAATGGTCGGCAGACGGTGGCGAGTGTCGGGTCCCCGGGCGGCGACGCGCTGCGCCTGGCCGCGCCCGCGCTGGCCCACATCGACGACACCGACACCGACGAACCAGACCACAAGCACAACTGTCAGTAGCCACACACACATGCTATACACCATGGTCTAGCCAGAAACAGAACTGTTCCATGACTTAAAAACATTGATAATGCCATATATTTTTGCAAACTTTTAAAAACCTATGTCATCTATCTCAGTATGACTTTCTACCAGTGGTACTGCTATTGATGCTTCTAGCCATAATAGTTTTGTTTCAGTCTGGGCTTCTACAAACTGACTTTTCAAATGATTTTGTGTCTGAAATAGACTATCACAGAGTAGTATAAAAATTGTTTAAAGTTACAACTTGATACGTCATTGATATACCTAAATATTATTTAACTCGTCGAGTACCGGTTTTGTAGACACAATTATAGAACAATAGGTTGCGGTCACCGGTGACCGCTTGGTGTTTCACAGTTTAATTTGCCATTGATCAACTTGACTTCTTTGAGATGACATACAGTTTGCATACTACTCTGTGTACATCGTTATTGTATTCTATACTAATATAATTTCTTTCATGCTCCTATAGTCATGTAAAGTCAATCCTTGGACCGTCCGCTAGTAGGCCGCTATTTTTCAATTCAAATTGTAGATATTTATAAAGTGAAAGCTTTGCTTGTGGAAATAAGGGTCAAATTACGCTGGCATTCAAATGGATGCTAATTTGTGTCAGACCCAATGAATATATGTATAGAGTTGGTGGTTGTTCATATTGTGACGTCTTAAGTGGTTGAGGACGACTGCAATGTGCGTTTTACATTATGCATACAAAGCGAACGACATTGCATTTTAAGTTTTGCGCCTAGGTAGACACATAGATAGGACTGCTTTGATGATAGGACAAATAATTTTTCATCTATAATTGAATAGTAAAATATATCAAATAGCTATCATTCACATATTCGACGAACTTGTCGTCATAATCCTATTAAACAGAAGCGCGTTGAAGTTCAGGTAGTATAAGTAAAGTATAGACAGGGCAGGAGTAGTGGAGCCATGGACCGTGTTCAGTAATATAATTGGGTGTACAATCGCACGCAGCGAGCGGAACACAGTCTCGTAACGATGCGGAGTCGCCGGCAGTGGCCGAGGACTCTGATTATTTCACGCCGGAAGACACCAACACGACCATTCTGACCGTTCCTAAGACGAACAAACTTGCCGTAAGTCCGCCATCTTGCATCAGCTGTCATCGTAGTCGTGACGTCATCATTGAGCTTTGTTTGTGTGCGTTTTAGTTCGGTTTTGGTTTACGCGATTTTGTTTTATTTTCCGCGTCGTGTTTAATTTGCACCTTCATTATCATGTAACGCATCAGTATGAATGTTGTAAGGTGATGTTACACTGGCTCGTTGCAGGAGCCGAGCGATGCACTGCGGTAACCATGTAACGAAGCTTGAGGTGTCCAGGCATTGCGGGGCTTTTGAAACGCACCAAGCATATTGTTGCCAGATTAAAAACTGCACTCATAACTTTATTTTGAACCAAATTTACGATACTGGCAACTATGTGCACTTAGTATTAGAAATTTTAATAATTTATGAATGCATTATTCTAAAGCAAGTATCTGTTACAGGAGCCAACTAACAATGGAGATTGTACTCCTCAGCGTTGGGCCCTGCCACATCACGTCACATCACTACCTGGTGAGCCAACTACCAAATAGCTACTTACTTTTATGTGAATATAAATGGACTAAAGTCCATGATATTTATGTGTATATGTATGTGTAACCATTGATATAGGAACACCTCTGAGTCAGTCTAGCGTGCGTTCATCGGGCGACTCGTACAGTTCGACGTCGTCGACTCGTCAGCTCCTGGCGCCAGTGGCGGGGTCCCCGCTGGCGACCGACACCGCCTGCTAGCGGCCGACGCGTCGCAAGTCTCTCCCGTACCGCCCCGCACAGCTCTACAACCACGTAGAATACACTCTACCACCTTACTGAGATCTACTGTACATTAGGGATGTTAGGGGCTCTGTAATTTTTTATTGGAAGTCTTGTACTTGCCCTTGATATAATTTGATCACTATTTTGTTTACGACTATCATGATTTATTCTATATTTAACTAATACTTACAATTGTATATTTAATAAATATACGAGCATGCTCGAATAGTTTCGTGCCACATCGGGGCCCACTAACAAGAATTTCGTGCGTGAACTGTTCGGCGGACGTCACGTCCATCTGGTAAACTTTTATGCAGGTAAATGAAATTAACTTAGATTCAGACTACCTCCTTCTCGACATCCCTACTGTACTCTATGATTAGCTAGTGCGTAATGTTACCACATAAAAAAATGTGTTTGTAGCTCACTGTAACATAACGGGTGCACGGTCCCGCGACCCTTCATACATTACGTACGAAAGATATGTACGACACTATCCGTAAAAATAAGACAAATAAACTTTGTAATATTATAATGGGTTTAATGTTTTTGCAGCTATATTAAATTTAATCATAAGTATAGATTGATCATCGCATGACATGTAAAAAATAGGTTACCCAAGCTTCTAGTATAGGAACACTAATGGTGCAAGATTTCTATCTTATATTAGTATTAATAAAAAATTGATATTGATGTATAAATGGTAAATTGTATAAAAAATTATAATATATTTATTCAGTATGAAATATCAGTGCCAAATAAGGTACGAGACATTATAAATTATGCATTAGTAAGGCTGAAATTCTGTTTACTCAAAAGCAAGTAATGTGGTTTCATAAATATAAATACATGTGGGGTGCATTTAGATCATTTGTTTTGTATATATTTGCACTAATATCAGTGTCCACCCATGTTTGTCCTTTGAATTGCAAATTTTATTGACTATTGTCTTGAGTTTTTCTTGACATTTACATTATGCTCAAATTTACTAAAACTTAGCTCTTATTTTGCATTATTATAGCAATCAAGAATGAAACATTTTGGTGACTTTGATTATAACTCTTCTCCTTAGCAAATATGTTAATATTCTGTGTTAGTTAATTCATTATATTTTTTTTTTCATATTAAAAGTTTAAGATAATTGCTAATTATTACAGCTCACATTCAAATGGGTTGATTCCATGTATTGCTGCTGAATACAACTGTAATGTCATTCACTTCCAAGATTATATTATTATCTATCTGGTTAATTATTACATGATGCATTAAAATTACTCCAACTGAGTAACAGTATTGTAGGGCACATTTAGACTGATTAAGAACATTCCTTTATATTCAATCAAAGAATCTCAAAAAAATTATAAGTGTCGTATATTGTTGAGACACACTTGTATTACTGCCTAACTAATATTTTCTTTAAGTGTATTATTGTTTGATTTAAAATAAACTTCACTAATATTAAAACGGGCTTTTAATTTGTCATTAAAATACACAATGCTTTAGTACAAAACTTTATTGTGATGTTGCACAATATACAATATGCTGATTAATATAAAACTAGAGCAGATTAATAATAATCAAGCCATTAAAACAAACGTAAATAAGTATTAACTCTAAAATAAAATAATAAGTATGTATAATCATATTATTCTGTAAATAGACTTGACATATTATGTAAAATATGAACTCAGAATAAAAGTTACTCTCAGCTTTGGTTAGACATTGTTTTTATGTTATTGTAGTTAGAATTTTCAGAATGACAATCATCAGAAGTGCTAGGACTGGCCACTTTCTTCATGGCTTGTCTCCGGGCAGCATAGGCAGACATTCTAGCTAGTCGCGCCTGCCTCTGCTCTGGGGATTCATTTGCCAATCTCTTGGCAGCATATGCTGACATCCGAGAGAGGCGTTTGGCTCTTTGTTCACTGGACTCCAGTGATAATCTTTTCGCCGCGTATTCAGACATACGCCGCAGCCTGTTGGCGCGTTGATCCGGTGATTCATTAGCGAGTCGCTGTGCCGCATATGCTGACATCTTCGCTAACCGCGACGCTCGCTCATCAGGGGACTCACATTTACGACCAGAATCTTTACGAGTTCTTCGTTTATCAGGAGTGATCAGTTCAAGTGGGTCTAGATTTTGTGTCATTAACATCGGATCATCGGTCTCATAACTTCTATCACTGCTTGTCTCTTCGTTTTCCCTTTTCACATTCATATCATAAGATATTGGCTCAGATTCTAAATTCAATTTTGTACTGCTCATTGTGTTGTCCATTTTTCGATATAGTCAGATTTTGTTAGCACTTCGAGATCCACTCATTATTTGCTTTCGCTATCACAATTTTCTTCCAGGAACAATCGGATGAATTTAATTCACCCATATTGATTGTTTAGGGATAGACTTATCCATAATACCATAACGGATTCGACAATTTATGAAATGAATGAACTATTAGATTTCACTTAGCACAAACAAGTTCATGATTAAACAACATGAATTTTCACCGAAATAAAAGTACGCAAAAGACCTGCAAAATATGAGACGACGGCGCTAATGCTGTTGCTGAATGACAGAATGACACCATTGAATGACACTTGATAATTTGACAGTGACATCCGAATGAAGTTAATTCTCGACACCCACAGATTCTAGTATTGTTCAGTTGTAAGCGTAGCGTGTATGCACAGAGAGCGAAGTATTTATTTACGACACCCTTGTAAGCGACTATAATAAAACTTACAACAAAACGTGTATTTGGTTTTTCGACGTACATCTTTTCCTTTTGGCTTTTTTTTGTTTCCCTATTTCGGAAAAGTATTTTGCCAAGAAAATAAACAAAAAATGTGCAAAAATTAACAATAGCAACACAGAGCGTATGAGTTGTCAAAAAGTTGGCATATATTCGGATTCCATCTGTTTTATTTAGCCAATCTATTTTCATATCTTACACTGCGGATAACAAGGGTATTTAGCTTATTTTACACAATAATATTGTGAAAATATATGTTTATACGGATCTGCTTGTATACATTAATTTTCTTGTTTTAAACTGTTAAATTCTATGCGGAGTACAAAGCATCTGTGATCAATCACAATTTGCAGCAATTTCTTATTTATTTCCTTCTTTTGTGATCTTTGTGAAAGTTAGTTTTAAAATATTTCGTTTTTAGGGACAGTGACCTAGGAGAGGAGCTCAGGATACTTGTAAAGTGATGACATAATGGTGTAATAGTTTGTTGGTGTTTGTTGTCGATCGTCACTAACCATGGATAGTATTCCCGAGTCACCTTCGAAGACGAGCCCCCTCGTGGAGCCTGAGGGTTTCCCAGAGAGTGAGACGGATTATTCCAGCATAAGGGGGAAGGTGAGCATTCACACTGCCTTTGTTTACTAACACTATTGTTCGCGCGTAAACTACGCCTACTCACAAGTCTTAGCAAGTGAATGTATGGCTATATTATGTATTTCAGAGCTCATATTTTTCTCATATAATAATTTCATTGATTATTAAATTTATAAATGAATATGGAACAGTAATTCTAATGAGTACTATAATAAGATTCTAATCAGTTCAAAAAATGTGCAAAAGTTACATATAAATTTGCGTTTTTGTGAAAATGGATTATTTTCAATATTTAGGAAAGCTGTTGTACCTACCTACACTTTATAAATACATTTTTAATGTAATTATTCTTCTTGAAAAGCACTTAATTTTTATGCATAAAATACTAAAATAAAAAATAGTTACCTCCTAACAAAATTATTTCAAAATTAACTATTGCACCATAACAATATTGCATCATTCTCTTTGTGGATACTTATTATGTAGGTATCCAACGTAAACATTATAAATATCTATGTTCGATTTCCTCCCTCTAAAGTGCCTGATAGATAACTAATAGTTATAAATACTAGCTTATCAAACCGGAAATTGTTTATTATGGTGATGACCCTCATAATTATATCCATTTCTGGATATATATTGACTACAATTTGTTTTATAATACCTCATAATTATACAAGTTGGCTCTAGAGATAACTTTATCCTGTGATTACAATGAATAGGATAACAACAACTTTAAAAAAAAATAACATGTCACAATTTCATTGTAAAGTTTAAGTTCACCCAGTTCCAATTAGTCAGCTATTGTTATTGTTAACTATATTTTTTCATTGCATTTTATATCAAATGTATAAAGTTCAATGTAATAAAGAAATCTCACAGAAAGGACTAGGTTGACCTGCTGGCCCATTTTACATAATATGACAAGTATAGACATGTCTGTTGATCAAGTCTTGCACCACTTTATTCACAAGTGTAGTCATTGTGTTATGAATTAAGCTTTTGTTGCATCATTATCAATTAAATAAACTTAACAAAAACTTCTGTGTTTTCCCTAAAGTACAATTTAAGAAATGTTTAATAATAGTTGTTGACATTATTTTAACACTTCATTGTATAAAATTATCAACAATCATAAAAACATTTTTAGATTACGGAGGTAAAATGTAGACTTATTCTTTGTACCATAATCATTCCATATGAAGTTACCTCATACAGCGGACCTAATATTAAACAAATATAATAATAATAAGAAAGATTTTAATTCATACAACCAAATGTACAGTGAAAATAACAACATTAGTTAATTTCCAAAATGTTATTTTCCAAGATGGTGCTTGTAAGCCCTTCAGCAGATGAGTATGAGCTGCTCCGTAAGCAACTGCTGGAGAGACTGGAGTCAGGGAATGGAGAGATCATATATGACATTGGTCAAGGAGAAGGTAAGACATGTATTTATTATATTTTTGCTTATTAATTTTGGAAGATTAATTTACAGTATTATAACATTTTATACATAATCTCATCTTAAATTTTATTAAACAATACTGTAACCAGGACCTTTTAATATTTTTTGTATTGAAAGAATACAAGTATAAATAAACAATTTACCTGAAATTTTATTGGCATGTAGGTATATATCTTCAAATTAAATGAAGATCAATTTTAGTTAAATGATAATAATTAAGAACATATTCAGGCACTACGGTTCCAACAGATACTGTTCCAATACTGAAGATAAAACAGATGCAAGAAGGTTTTAATTGGTTTTGGAAGACAGTCTTGTGTAACAACAATACACAATAATTTGTAAAACAATCAATCCTCAGTTAATATGTTTGCCTTGATCTAGCTTTATAGTGATCTTCCTTAGTATAACCAAAAAAAACTTGCTACATAATTACCGACAGCACATTCCTTAACAATTAGATAAATTATAATTTCATAATATGCTGCATATGTTAGGTGTACTGATAGAATGTAGACATTGCAGCTGACCGCTGACCACCTAATCTTATCGCAATGATCTCGGTCACGTGCGAACGGACGTGTGGTTATATTCATCTAGATCTAGTGTTAATAGTGCGTGAGTTACTGCAAATGTAATAATAGTGATTGTATTATTTACACACGCCTAGTACTAGATATTTATAGAGCAATATCGATTCGATGGAAATGTTTTAGTGTTTGGCAGATATTCGAACGCTAATATTTAAATACATAGTACTTAGGTCGTAGGTACATTCATACTAACGCCACGCTATGTACCTATGTAATTTTATCGAAACAGAACTTCGAAACCAATCTCTCCCGGCGTTTATACATAAACTGTTGTTCGAAACCTCGCATCTATTAGAAAGCACGACATATTCGAAGTCATGTATTCATAATGTTGTAAGGTTCTATATTTATTTTTTTATTTATTTAATATGCTTCATGCACAAAATGTACAAAAAGGTGGACTTAATTTTCTACCAGTCTGACCTTTGAGTGATGCAGAGAAGAGTAAATGGTAGGTGCAAGAGGCAAGCAGTGATTTTATTTAACAATGAAAGATAAACTTATATATTTCGGAGATATACATACATAAATAAATTTAATTATAATGTATACCTACACATGAGTACAATATGCCTACATACATACATATTTACATAATATATAAATATATACTTGCTTACTAGTACACAGTGGATAGTTAGCGCGATGATTCAGCCAACCTCTTTAGGAAAAGCTCACGAACTTTGTGCTTAAAAGTTAGTCGAGTTTAGACCATCCTGACATCCAGGGAGAGCGCATTCCACAGCAAAATTGCCTGTACGAAAAAGGATGAATGTAAGAAGTCAGTGCGATGAGTGGGACATTGGAGAAGACGGTTGTGAGAAGAACGAAGATTTTTACTGTGGTTTGCGCATAAGTATTGAAAGTAAGGGGATAGATAACTGGGTGAAGAAGGTGAAGAAAGAAAGGAGAATAGAGTGGTTAGCGCCCTTTGCTCCCTGCGCTGGCGTATGGGCAGCCACTTTAGTTGCAACCGATGTGCAGAAACATGATCGTATTTACGCAGGTTGAAAACGATTCGGATGCAGTTATTTAGAAGTCGGTCGAGCTTATTGAGGAGATCTGCATTCAGGTCGTAGTAGCAGACATCAGCATAATCGATGATAGGGAAAACCAAGGCTTGCACCAACATGGCCTTCGTAGCGGGAGGAAGCAAATTTTTTACGCGATACAGAGCACGCAATGATCCAGTAACCCCCTTGCATACATTTGTGATTTGAGCATGCCACTTTAAATTGCAGTCAATATGCAAACCCAGATTTTTGACGTCAGTACCAAACGGAATATTGTAATATAATTCTTAATATATGCGATTTTATAGGTTTAATTCTTCATGATATCCATTTGTGCAGACGGGCGCGGTTTGACAGAGGATGAGTACAGCGCGTCCGTGGCGACGCTGCAGTCCCTGGTGAGTGGGGAGCGAGTCTCATGCGTGGAGCTGCGACGCTGGGACTGCGGCAGCGGGCTCACCGGACAGTATCTGCTGCGTACCGAGCTCGACCATACTGACTTTATGGAGATCAGGTATGAAGGTCATCACCTACTAGAGTTAATTCTAGTCTTATTTGTTTTTGACTATCTTCAGGATGGTCTAACTGCCAAAGATGGTTGCTGGTTGCCATTGCTGGAGTTGGGAACAGTCTAAACAAAATAATTAAAGATAACAGTGTCTGTGGGTCAGACTTTCAGAGAAGTCATTTGCTCTTCATTGCTCTCTTTTATAAAATAGTTTTAATAACATTTCTTAAACTAACAAATAAACTTGTCCAACACCAGAGTGGCAGTGGTGGGCAATGTAGACGCGGGCAAGTCGACTCTACTGGGCGTACTGACTCACGGCGAGCTGGACAACGGGCGAGGGTACGCGCGCCAGCGACTGTTCCGACACAAGCACGAGATGGAGAGCGGGAGGACCAGCTCCGTCGGGAACGATATACTCGGCTTCGATAGTATGGGTAAGAATAGTCTAGTCTTGAATTTCTATATGTAGGTACGATTATCCTCGCTTGCTTCTTTACCTTCCATCAAAATAATGTATCTGGGTTTCTGGGATTGCATTGCATGCTGATTAAGAGTAGGTACTTTGTACCTGAACCACCTAGGTAAACTGAAGACCCCATGCACGACGGTCGGTCTAGCTCAAAGTCTTCGTTTAT